CGCAATAATAACAATAAATAGTGGAATTTGATAATGGAAACCATTTAGATGGAACATTTACGAGCACTTAGCACGATACAAAAGTCGTTTTCTATTAAATTAGAAATTTCATCGCTTTTTATTTGTTATTTGATACAAAATATCGTGTCACGAGATCGCAAATCGCCACTGAAACCATAAATAAAAGCTTCCGGTAATTTTAACATAAAACAGGTCTCGTAAAATCGAAAGATTTAGCCCTTAAGGATTTTTCCCTTTATATCTGTTTCTCTCCAGCGTATCAAATTTATGGATCCTTAGAGAATGAGTAAAATTGATAAAAGTATAGATTATGATAATGGTGAGCTTAAAGGTGGTAGACACTTATTTAAGTGACGTTCTAACATATTTTTCAGCCCCAATGTCGTAAATAAAGTGAAGGAAACTTGTAAAATTTAATCAAGTAAAAATTGTGGTTTTATGAGGAAAATATGAATTTTCTATCAAAGCAAAACAAATTCTCCTATAAGAAATTCAAAAATGCAAAATAAAAATTAAATAATTTTGGAGTTATTAGCAATTAACTGCTGAAAAATCGACCAAAATCTCGCCAAAAATCAAAAAAAAATTCAACTTTAATAAAATTCATTCATTTAACGTTTTTACATTTCTAGAGGTTCTAAAGATTCAAAAAAGTGCATAACAAATTTTTACTTTTTTTATTTTGTAAACTGAGATAAAACTGTATCTCATTGATATAATATTTTGATGTAAACCTATGTAAAATGTTCCGGGGAATCGAGTTATAAGCGGAAAAGAAGAATTGAAAAAAGTTTGTAACAACAAATTGAAAAAATGCGTCTCAAAACACAAATTAGAGAATATTTAAAACGCAAAAAAGGTGAAGATAGAAAAAAACCACTAAAAGTTTTTGGCTTAAAAAACACAAGAAAATAAAGAGGACTTTCCAAACAAATTTGATTTTTTGTTTGATTTAAAAACTATAAGACTTTTATCAGCAATAAGAGAAATCTGGGAAGAAAAAAGAACCTTCAAGGGCAAAACTATCGAAAGAAGTTATTAACAGTTGGAAGTAACTTAAGAAAGAGAAGAAATACTAAAAAAAATTGAGGAACAAAGAGGAAAAAATGAAAAAACGTAAAATAAAGTTAGTTTTTAATGAAAAAAAAAGAATTTGAAGAAAAAGAAAAGAAGAAAAAAACACTAGAAGTTTTTGGTATAAAGAGCAGAAGAAAATGGAGATAATTCGACAAAAAAATTGGATTTTGTGTTTGATTTAAAAGCTAAGTCACTATATGAGGAACAAAAAAATTTTTTGAAAAAAAGGGCAAAGTTATTGAAAAATGTTATTAACGTTGAAAGTAATTTAAGAAAAAAAAAATGCTGAAAAGTATTGAGGAGGAAATACGAAGAAAAAGTGAAGAGATGTAAAATAAAGTCACTTTTTAAGAACAAAAAAGAATTTGAAGAAAAAGAAAAGAAGAAAAAAAACCACTAGAAGTTTTTGGCATGAAGAACAAAAGAAAATAGAGAAGATTCTCCAAAAAAAAAAGGAATTTTGTGTTTCATTTAAAAGCTAAGTCATTATATGAGGAACAAGAGAAATTTTGAAAAAAAAAGGGCAAAGCTATTGAAAAATATTATTAACGTTGGAAGTAATTTAAGAAAGAAAAAATGCTGAAAAATACTGGGGAGGAAAAACGAAGAAAAAATGAAGAGACGTTAAATAAAGTCAGTTTTTAAGAACAAAAAAAGAATTTGAAAACAAGATAGGTTTAAATTGAATCTGTGTTTAAAAACATCAGTTTTTAAGAGGGGGGTGTCAACAAATTTTTAGTTTTTTTTGTTTTGTAAATTGCGGCAAAACTGAGTCTCAATGACATAATATTTTGACCTATACCTATGTAAAATGTTCCGGGGAATCGATTGGCGTCAAGAAAACTGCAAAATTCTTAATAGTTTTGAAGTTATAAGCGGATTTAAATTTTTGATATATTTGACTTTATCAGACATTTTCTCGATAACTGTTCATCGTAGAGCACTGATCTTTCTTATGTATGATAGAAAATTAAATTTTCTATTCAATGGCACCAAATATAAGAGGTTATCTCCAATAAGTCCGGAGTTATTGCCATTAGACCGTTCCGGGTGCCAAAAATCGACCAAAATTTCGACAAAAATGAAAAAAAAAATTAACTTTAAAATTGATCTATTTAACGTTTTTTACATTTTTAGAGGTCTTAAAGACTCAAATAAGTGCATAAAATGTTATTGGGTCAAGTTTCAAAAATTTTGAATTTTTTGAGTTTTTGAAGGTGAGCGGTAGTAAAATCGTAAAAATAGTCAATTTACTCTACGATGCATAATTAATAGAATTAAGGAATAAGACTTAAAGAAAATCAAAATTTTTTTAAATAAAAACACTTTTTAATTAATTTTAAAAATCTTGTTAAATTAGTAAAGTAAGTAATTCGAATTAAAAGCAACGCTTGAAAGATCTTATGGACGCGAGTCGGGGAATTAAAGAGTTTCTTTTCTTTGTAATTAAGAGTTTAAGATGATTAGGAGCAATTTGCACAGTATCTTGACTATCGTTCCTGAAATATGTTTCAGTGTTTTCAAGTAGGAAACAACAAATGCAAATCTGCTCTTGAGAGTTTCAATAATTGCTATCAGCTCAATTTTATTTTCAGGATCAAGGAGCGGAGGTCGTAGCACATCTCCTTATAGATCTTCCTCAAGAGGCGCAGTCAATGCGGCTTACAGCGGGAATTCAGGATTTTCAGAGAGTGGATCTAGACGTGCTAGCAGCTCCGTTAGCCAGGTAAAGTTTGGGCAATTTTGCAAGCTTCAGTGCTTTTTTCTCGTTTTCTGAGTGTGATATTACTGAAAAGTGCAATTTTTAATTTAAGACTTCAACGTGGATAAAATACAGTTATTGACAGAAGCGTGAAGCTATCTATTTTTCAGGGCGAGTTACTCTGGATGGAAATATTTAAAAATACGCACAAGGGTTTATTTTTGGGGCTAAATTTTGTATGAAATGAAAACTACCAATACGAGTCACTTAAATATTCTATGTGTACAAGTGATTTCAGCTGAAACGAATTTTCAGCTTCGAAAAGCGATAATCTCCTTATGGCGAAAGAAGATAAAACTGATTTTATGAAAAATTTATTTGTCAAGTCAAACATGAAAAACCGTTTAAACAACAGAAAATAAATGCCAGGTTTTCACTACTTTGAAGAAGACGATCCTTTCAAAATGTTGTTATTTTTCAAAAAGTTTTATTATAGTTTGATTTGTATGAGATTTTTCAGAATTTCAAAAATAAATTGTTACATCTTAATCTTCTTGAAATTTTTTCGTTTTTTTCTTTTCATCACTGAGAATTATTTTTTGCAAATTTTTACTTATTTTTGTGCTAAATGTTGCATTAACCAACATGAGTTTAAATTGTTTATGTTCCTACAAAGTGATTTTAGTTGAAACGAATTTTCAGCTTTGAAAATCGATACCGATAATTTTATGAAAAATTTATTTGTCAAATAAAATTTAAAGAACTTGTTTATAATTATAAGAAATAGCTAGGTTTGGGTTTATAATGTTATTTTTCAAAAAAAATAGTTTTATTATAGTTTGATTCGTATAAGTTTTTCAGCATTTCAAAAAGAGATGATTACATTTTGTCTTACTTAAAATTTTTTTAGATTTTTTAAGTACTGAAAATTGAGGCTGAAACAATTTTTTTGCTGATTTTGACACTATTTTGGTGCTCAATTTTTAATGAAACAAAAACTTTACTAACACGAGTTTACTTAAATATCTATGCACACAAATGATTTCAGCTGAAAACTGCTCATGGAAAAGTTTTATTTATGGTCTGATTTATGTAAGATTTTTTAGCATTTCAAAATTAAATGAGCTAATTTTTCATGTTGTTACATCTTGAAGTTTTTTTCGTACTGAAAACTTTTGAAAACAAAACAATTTTTTGTGAGATTTAGTAACTGAAATCACTTGTGGAAAATTAGCACAACTTAACCAACACGAGTTTGTACTCAAGTGATTTCAGCTGAAAGAAATTTTCAGCTTTGAAAGCTGATAACTTGCTAATGGAGAAGTTTTATTTTTGGACTAATTTTTTTCAGCATTTCAAAAACATATGAACTAATTTAAAAAAAATAAGTACTGAAAACTAAAGCTGAAATTGTGTTGCAAAATTTAAGATTTTTTTGATACTAAATTGTGTATGAAACAAAAACTAAAATATTCTATATTTTCAAGAGATTGCATCTGAAACGATTTTTCAGCTCCGAATATCAATAACCTATTTATAGAAAAGTTTTTTCACGGTCTGATTTATGTAAGATTTTTCAGCATTTTAAAAAATAAATGAGCTAATTTTCAATGTTGTTACATTTTGTTTAAATACTGAAAACAAAACAA